TAGTTATCCCCGTGGAAGTCATCGAGCCATCTAGATGGACCAAGGTTCCACTCGACAAGGAGCTAAATGACGAGGCCCTAAGGGAAGAGCTTGACCTGGTCAAAGAGATCCAATCGAGGGCCTCTTTGCGTGGCTACACTGAAGCAGCAGATAACTCTGCGTCATGACCCCAAAGTCATAAAACGCGAGTTCCAGATTAGAAGCCTAGTCCTACAGAGAAATCAGAAATATTTCTGTAAGTGAAAGTTGGACGCCAACTGGGAAGGCCCTTATCGTATTTGCGGGACAACGGGAACTGGGGCCTACTACCTCGAACACTGAAGTGGAGAACCGCTACCTCGACCATAGAACGCTATAAAGCTGAAACAATTCTACAACTAAGTCCCAAATAAACCAGAGCTTAGCAATCGACATACCCTATGCGACAAACGACAAGGCTCGCTCGACCACAGAAGCATGTTGAGGTACGAACATAGCCGCCAACATATAACAAAAGGCGGGTCTTCACTCATTGGTCGAGCAGAACCTTAGCCCAACAGGGACACCTCGACCGAGCTCCGTCGTCGAAGTACCTAATAAGAATGACATCCAGCTCACGATGGGTAGTTCATTCCACGAAGTCAAGATCCCTACTGTGATCTCGGCCTCGTCCATGTGGACCCTGAATTCTCCTCCTTAACACATATTCACATGTGTCGATCATAATTAAGATCGAGCACAAATTTCCACTTGTCAAAATTTTCACACCGAAATAAACATATCAAACACAACGACAGAATATCAAAATACAGAATATGGGAGCAAGACAAAAACATTCAAAGTCTGACCACGAAGGCCGGTGTTATCTATACAATACAAAAGCGGGGCACGCATGCCCAAGTTAAAAGCAGTCATATAGATGGGCAAAGCCCCTTGTCCAAAATAACTAACAAAATGGCTTCTCCGTCTGTAGACAAAATGGCTTTCCTCTCCTCTTTTTCCATAGGGATTCTTTGTCTGTAGACAGAATGGCTTCCCTCTCCTCTTCATGGAGATATAAGGAATTCTCCCTACTAAAGATACCTCAGTTGAGATGACAGGGGGACTACACGAAAGTCTCCCTGGTACCCTTGTCCCTGTCGACAGCCACCACGTGCTCGGGGTCTTCCACACACTTCCTTTTTGTCGGTTGTTCAGGAGGGGAAACCTAGGCCCCTTGAGGAGAGTACGAACCACTAGGGCGGGTATCATCTTTGGCTTATTTTTGGAGTTGGGCAGCCCGACCTTTGGGCACCAATTTTTTTGAATTCTTGGGCCTCAACTTGAGCACATGTTCGGGGAGAGTCGCCATCTGATATGCAATCAAAAAGGAAACAGTTAGCCTGCAAGACAAAAAGACAAATATAAAACTACAGGCATGTCCCCTACCTAAAAGTCTCAAAGCCTCCTCGTTAGAAGAGCACTCAAGGAGAGCTTTCGTATTTATCAGTCGAGGAACAAAGAGATATTCTCCATTATCATAAAAAATGAAGTTATTGTCTAGGTCCACAAGCTTCTCCAAAGAGAAGCTCTTGACATAGGCCGCTAGCTTGTCGTAAGCAAGCCCATCCTGGGCATCCAACTCCCCGGGCTTTACCGCGTAATATTTGGGCTTCTGTTAAAAATGTTTCCATTACCACTCAAGAGGAAACTTCACCGCCAGTCTAGTCACTATTCGACCATCCTCGACTTCCTCTGAGCAGTTGTATGGAGAGTCCACAACCGCATCGATAAGAGACTTCACGATGAAGTACCTTTCTTTAAAGTTTCGTATGGATTCCAGGTACGATCAGAAGAGTTTCCCGAACTGCTTAAACGACACCCACGCCTGTAGTCCATCAATGGTCTGCCATTGGAGATAAAAGATCCTAAAGAAAAGAGTTAGAGTGGCACGAATACTAAGATATTGGCAGACGAGCTCAAATGCCCGCATGAACGCGAGCGCATTTGGGTGAAGCTGATAAGGCGCCAGTTCCAACCATTTAAAAAACCCCACTTGGAAATCTGTGAAGGGCAAACGCATCATCGCTTCCATAAAAGCAAATTCATACATAGGAAAGCGTTTTCCCGGGAAAGACGAGAAGATCCTCCTGTTTCAGTGAGGGATTTGAAGCACCCAGATGGCAGGGGCATCAGTTGCTTTGTCCTTGGGGATGTTGAACGCGTCATAAGCATCCTTCACAAAACAGGACATCTTATTTCAGAGTTCAAGCGCGACCCAAGCTAGGCAGTCGCCCGTGACTACAGTTTCTCCCCCATCAATTTCGGGAACAATATTTTCCTCTAATGGTTGAGCCATCGTATCTGAAAAACAGGGGAAAATAGTGAATTCGACATCATCAAATTCACCATTCCACCGCAAGTCAAATGAAAGGCGATGAGCGCGTCCAAGAGTCGTCCTCGACCCAAGCCCTCGACAGCGAATGCGAAAGATATTGATACCTCCACGCGAGCATAAAAACGCGTAGGGACATTTCCTCTGCAGAGCTACTTGCCTGAATCCTCCCCGCTCAAAAGAGGGACGACCCTGATGCAAGACCAGATGAAGTTCATGGACCTTCATCTCAGAATTCATGAATGTTCATCCTAAATTCATAAACTTCATCTGGAAATTCATCCATTCATAGCAAGATTCAAGTGTTCGATCTAAAAACCTAAGAAAAATCGTGTTTAAAGACGAAATTTCTTACTTGGAGAAGATGAACGGCGAAGACGTCTACGACGGTGTTGGAGCAGCAGAGCAACAGGCGAACTGGGGAGAAATAGGAAGAGAGAGAACTTGAAAATTAAGTGAATCTCGTGATTCCCCTTTTTATAGCTAGTCTCCACCACACGGGGTAGCATGCAAAAGGACATCATTATTTAGACTCTTATATTGTCCTGGGCAATGATGGCATTTTAAACAGCTGCCACGTGGAACTCGCGAAAAGACACGCAGCTGACAAAAGTCTCACGCGCAAAGCCACGTGCTTATATCGTTTCATCCCTGTTATCGAATACACGCTCGACATTATTATGACGCCTTACTTACGGGCACATCGAGGACGCGAACACGAGGAAACTCCTCGTCTCCCCGCGAATGTAAATCCCAAACAAACACCGCATTGATACGAGCAGAAGACGAAATCGAAAAGTAAATTCTCCTAGAACAAGTCGACCCCGCCACGCGCAATCTCGGAGTCCTCCTCGACCTAAATCATGGAGTCATTTCCGACAGGAGTTGACGGTTCCCCTTTTGGGCAACACTTCCCCGACATGTGAACTGATCTTAAACTTTTAAATTTTTGAATAATTTTTTTCATACGTGTTTCAAATACTATAAAATGTTTCTTCACCAAATTAATGAATTAAATATAAATTTTTAAATTTCAAAAGATATTGATGAAAATCTCGATTTAGAAATTAAATTTTAAATTTTTTTTAAGAAACTTTTTATAACGTTCTAAACATATATGTAAAATAATAATTCAAAAATACATAGCAATTTAACAATAGAAATTAAAACTAAGTGCATAATAAATTTGTAGAGATTAAACCGTACCATGTTTTTTTATATGGATGTATTTAGTGTTGAAGTTGGATTACAATTTCCTTTTTGCCAAATTTACTCTACTCTAAAAATATTGGAGTTATGCATACCAAATGCTGAAAAAACAACCATAAAGATACAGTAATCTTGAGATGAAGCATATTTAAATTGACTTATTTAAATGTGTTATCACTTGAGCAAGACAGATATGCTTATAGCAGCTCAATATGAACATGGGCTCGAACATGAGCTTGAACATGTTAGATCAAGATTAAGAGATCAATGAAAACAAAGAATAAATACCCCAGAAAAGAAAATTGTGGAATATATAATTTTATAGAAGCATGAGCTCGTAATGAAGAAGATTCAATCAAATATGAACTTTAAGTTCAAGACCAAAGAGATCATAAACAATATGTGTCGCAGAAACGAGAGTTGTGAAATCTCATGGACATTAATTATAGGAGCTTGAGCTCATAATCAAGAAGATTCAATCGGATCATTAATTATATGAACGGTAAGATCAAGACCAAGAAATTAATGAACACCAAGAATAAGTACCAAAAAAAGAAAGTTGTGCAATCAATGAATAACATGTGATTCTTCTTTAAGGAAACACCTAATTAACGATGACCTTGTTTAAAGCCAGAGCACAACATACTTTGTATGGACTATTCCAACACAAAAATTATTAGTACTTAACAGAAATCGAACATTGATCCTTCACCACTAGGCCGGGTTCTTCAACCTAAAATACTTATTTTTAGGACCATGACACCGAATTTATATCACAAACTAGAAGATATCATCAAGCCTAGACAAGCATTTGTATCTTCCAAAGTAAGACTTGAATCAATGAAGAGAAAGTGTACCATCATGATTCATTGAATATAAAAACTACCTTACACCAAATGTATAACTCCATTAAACTCAGTCACTAAAATCATGATCTATATATGGAACATATATTACATCAAAATCTCTGCATACATAGTCAAGAATTCAAAAACTACTGCACATTATTTCAACAAAACCAGATATCAAAATCATTCATATGATTTAAATCAATCCCACCAAACAAAAGGGAAAAAATTGTCATAATGAAAAACAACCAAGTTTACAATTATATCATCCATAAACATAACATAATATAATCCTTATAAACATCAAACTGAAAAATCCTCAAAAGGTTCTTGACAAGACAAAAGGAAAACTAATAAGAAAACTATAACTAACTTATTCGCCACAAGAGAATAAAGCTCCACGCTTGCTTAAGCTTGTAACTTGTTCTTGATCTTGATGCCATCAACAATATAAATAACCCAACAATCCTGAAAACAATTCATAATCGTCAAAACCGAACAAAATTCAAGAAACCGAATGTAAAATGAAAGTTGAAAGTTACTTACTTGTAGCTTTATTTACATAATCGGCGAGGCGGGGCAGATGTTGTTCAGAAAACTCCGCCGGAGATGGCGGACATGTCATCAAAGCTCCAGAGATTCATTGTGTTTCCACAATCCTGAACTGAATCAGTACCGAGCAGAGACGCCAATGAAGCATCACTCCAGTTATCATCAAACGAGTTCTCGAAGAACTTCAGCTGGGATTCGATATCAGCAAGCTCCTCAGAGAGTGTCTTTGCAGACTCATCTTGCATAGGCAGCATGTCCTGAGCATTGTTAGACAGCAGATTGATCTGAGATTCGCCTTCCCGAGGAGCAGGAGCGGAAAACACAGACGAAATCTCAGGGGTTTTCGGGGCTTGTTCGCCCCAACCTAGATCAGAATAATCAAACGAGTTGCTCGAATGCTCTGAGCTGAAGTAGGCATTAACATCAGCAGCAGCTGCAAGCTGAAATCCATTTCCTGCGAACGCTCCCACGTTAGCAAACTGGTTGTTAACCATCGGCTTCTGTTCAACCTGATCCATAGGGGAATAGTAGCTCTCCATATTCTCGCCGAAATTGAACATTGTGTTCCCATTCGGTTTGAACTTATTCATCGGCTCCGTCTCAGCATTTGGCTTAACACGTTTTGTGCAAGCATTTGGAGTCTCTTCAGGGAAGTTCACCTTGGCTTTCGCGCCGCGGATTCTCCTAGCTTCAGCATCATAAGCTCTCGCAGCTTCCTCAGCAGTGTTGAATGTTCCGAGCCAAACACGAACTCCTTTCCTCGGGTCACGAATCTCAGCTGCCCATTTTCCCCACGGACGTTGTCGGATACCCCTATACTGATTCTTCCTCTTTCTCTTCGAATCCTTTTCAGCCGGCTCATTCGATTTCGATACCACAGGTTTTGCAGCACTCGATCCTACAACCGAATTCAAAACACAAAAAAATCAGTATAAATAGCAAATACTATCAAAACAATATGATGAAATTACATAAACCAAAACAGAAGCAAAAAAATCTAGCAAAATTCAGTGTAACGAGTACGAAAAAACCGATTCATGAACAGTTAATGAATCAGAAGATAAAATTAATTATCATAATCCTCAAATTATCAACTATTCGGATCAATTAAACTAACACTAGTTCCATTATACCAGATCTACTACTTAGGAAAGTATTGATCAAACACAATTTTCACCAAATCATGCAAATATTCAATTTCACCAATCAAACAAATTAACACCAAGAACCCTAAAAAAATTCAAGGTCCAAATTTATTTAACATGATTTAACACTTAACAAGCAACTTTAATAAACAATTAACAAGCAACTTAAACCAACTCCAATTGGATCTATAAAATCATTAAAATAATTACAACCACACAAAATTGGATCTGCAAAATCATTCCAGTAATTACAACCAACAATTACAAATCAAAAATAAAAATTCCTCAAGAGATTGTCAAGATCTAAAAAACCATAGAATTAAATCATATAAATAAAATTAACAACCAGCAAAATCATAAATCACACCCAAATATTTCACAAATAAAATAAAAACAGTTCTTTAATATTTATTTTGAAAAATTATTTTAAAAAAAAAAGCAAAACAAATAAGAAAACATGATTTTTTAATCCATATAAACCGAATAAAATGTGGAACATGATAGAAAGAAATGCATGTGAAAATTAAAATTAAATAATGAAATTTACAAAACAAAAATAAAATAAAAAATAAAATCTGAAACAGTTACCACGAGAGAAGGTCCTTGAAGATTTGTTATTGGCAGAAGAGAAAGAGAAACCTTTCACACCGAGCATCAACCCTTCATCTTCCTCTTCATCCTCGTCCTCATCAAAATCAGAATCATCCTTAAACTCTCTGAACCCAGCCTCGAAATCATCGTCAAGCAAAAACGGTTTCTTCAACCCGTTTTTCCTCAAACTTGGCCACAAGATATCAGCAGTCACACGGCGGGAACCACCCACCGCCGCCGTAGGTGGGATGAAGTCGGAGATAATAGCACCACCACACATGTTTTCTCTCTCTTTTCACTACTCTCAGATCTTTGGTTTTTCTCTATAAAAAAACAGTGAAACTTTCTTTTCTACCAATTGAAGAAGATTGTTTGCTCAATGGTTGAGATTTTTACAAAGTTTTTGTTTTGAATGTTTTTGGTGTGTTTGGTATGAGGTAGGACTTGTGTCTTATATATATGCATTATTCATTTCACTTTTTTTGTGTTATAAGGGTGGGTGAAAAATGGTGCTGGAGTAGTATTACGGTTTTGCCCTTGTGATGAGAATGTACTGACTTGGAAAGGAAGTTTGTTAACTTGATGTTTATGGTAATCTTACTGCCTTTGTCAGCATGGAGCACACGTGCCAAACTATTTATTGTTTGGTTGACTCACTTTTCTTTTTGTTCAACATTCGAACATGTAGTACCAAGGAGAGTCTTGAATTAAGTATTCTAGAATTATATTTTTAATTCTTAGGATTAAGAAATGTTTTATCTAGAATTTTAACTTGTTTATCAATTTTTTTTTATTATAAAAAACTTAAATATTTGGTGTTGAGTAAAAAAATTATAATCTTGAGTTTATATATTGGGAATGGAAAAGTGTTAAACTCTATAATAGAGAGTTTTATATTCTATTTAGTGTATGCAAGTCAAAAATTACAATATTAATTAGTATAAAAAACTAGAATATCAACTTATATTATATTTTGATAAATTAATTTATATAGTTTATAGTTTAAAATTTATAATAATTATTTTTTTATTTTGAATTTATTCTTATAATTTTAGTTTTGAAAAGTAAAAGTTAATTATATATTTTTTATGTCATTTCATATTTCAATTAAAATTGTAATTTTATCAAATACAGCAAATTCAATAAGCTAACTTAATTCATAAGTTACCAAAATAAGTTCATATGTTATAAACAAATTTATATATTATTATCTGTTTTTTCTACTAAACAGCTCTTATGTGTGATGAAATTTATATTAATTTTGTTAGTTTATCAACAAATATTTCTTTTTACAACATTATTAAAGTTATATTTATTTTGTACTTATTGGAGGTTGGTGCCCTTTTAATTATTATTTTTCTTTTTTTAGTATATATTTTGTTTTATTTTGTTGAACTCAATTTCTAATGAAATAAAAAAAAGATTTGTTGAATGCTTTTTCTTTTATTTCATTAAAAAGAAAATGTTTGATTTTATTCAGATTTATTAGATTTTTTTTTAAAAAGTCAAATTTACAATAATGTAAAAGATGAATTTCATAATAAGTGTTAAGGCTATTGATAAATAAATACATTTTAGAGTTGAAGGATAAAAAACATAAAGCAATTTGAAAATTTTGAAAATACACAATTTACAATAATGTAAAAGTAAGTATATATATTGATCTGACCTGATCAGAAGGTTTGGACCGTCACGGCTTGCTACGAGCTGAAAGCTTTTTGAACGAGGAGGGGGGGTACCTGCAAGGCACTCCGATGCTAAAGTCAGTGGGAGTACGAGCAGATAATAGAGTTGAGGTTAGAATGATCAATACCTGACCCTCTGGAAACAGAGGGTATTTATAGCCCCCAGCGCTGGGCCAAGGTTCCTTCATTGGGTCGGGCGGATTTGGCCCAATGGAGGAACTGCCAGGTTCTACGTGGGTAGTGGGGACCCGCACGTGGTCCCCTTCCTGGATGTGCTGCGTGAAGTTCGGGCGGACGGAGACGCGGTCTTTCCGGAGTATCGTTGGGGGAACGGTGGACTGAGTCTGCCCTAGCCGGGTAGCTCGAGACCATGTCGAGCTGGGTAGCACGGTGCCGAGCTCGACGCCGGGACCTCGAGCCGGACAGCGGGTGTCGAGCTGGACGCCAGGACATGGAGCTGGACGGCAGGGTGTCGAGCACGACTTCACCGCGTGGGATTGGACATCGGGATGTCGAGGTGGACATCAGGGTGTCGGTCATGGATGTGACCCCCTTTTGCCCAGTGTGGTCCTTAGTGATGCACTTTGGACTGGGCCTTAGAAATGTTTTTGGGCCTGTCGGGCCCAGTCCAGAACAGGAGCCCCCCAAGTCGTGGTTCCTTTGCGAGGAGCCATGACTTGAAACCAAGTTGTTCCGTCGTTGAGGTCTCGTGCCCGGGATGGAGGTGTGGGCCCTCGAGGGGCCTCTTCGTGTCGTGCTCGGAGACGTCCTCGGTGGTGGATGCGTGGAGGATCCGTACCGGGCGCGTCGGTCGAGCACACGAGGCATCTTTCGGGAGCTGTGTCGCCACCCTAGGGGGGTAGGGCCATCATTGCGTTGGGAGCAGCGCGTCGAGGAGATGGAGTCCGTGGTTGAACGAGGTGACGTTTGGTATTCCACGTCATCACTATAAATAAGATCCTTGGGCCCCATAATACGTTTTCCGTTCTCCGTGCTCTCTCCGTTGCCGCTCTCAACACTTTCTCCAGTTGCGACTTCCCGTCTCAGATTCTTCCATTTCTTAGCCAAATCCCAAACTTTGATCCAAGTAAGTGATCTACTTTCTTCATTTTTCCGTTTTAGAATGCATGATTCCTGGAAATTGTAGATGTTTTAGGACCGTGCGCGTGGGATTAGCCCGGTAAACTCGTGTTTTGCCCGACATATTCATGTCTAGGACCGGCAAACGCATACTTGTGGCCGACACATTCATAGTTTTAGGTGAAAAACTTCAGAGCTGCCCGGGATCTTCATGATCCGGGGCGCCTGATTCATGACGGTGCCCGGTACGTTTATGGTCGTGGCCGTGGGCTTCATAATGCGGCTCGCCATGTTCATACCTCGGGTCGACATGCTTGAAGAGTGGCCGCGCAGTTGGTTTGAGGAAGAACACTGGGTTCAGGAGAGTCGGGGGGACATCCACTTGTGAAAACGGACTTGTGTAGTCGTGTATGGACGACATGATTATGTCGAGTATAGGGCTTCGTGCTCAACTGATTGGTTTCCCGTGCTCTGCAGGTAACCATGGCGGACGAGCCGAGCTCCTCCGGGCGTCGTGATCGCGAAGAACAGAGTGCCGACGAGTCGGCCACCTTGATAGATACCGTGACCGATCCATTGCTGGAATGGGTGGGTGTCGAGCCTCGGGGGACAGCGTCGATATATAGCCGGGATGACCGACATCCCTTCACTGTCATTGAAGAGGGTCAAGACCAGCCCGACTTCCAGCAGAACTTCGTGGTCATGCTTCCGTCGACCAATGCGAGAATTTGCTCGGTGTATCCGAACTACAGCCTTGCGATGTATGAGATCGCGTTTAAAGACTTAGGGCTGCGGCTGCCGTTCACTGATTTTCAGACCGGGGTCTTTATGCACTTGGAGCTGGCCCCGTCCCAGCTGCACCCAAACTCGCTCGCCTTCATCCGGGCGTTTGAGTTGACGTGTCGCTACCTGAGGATCGGGGCGACCATCCCTCTTTTCTTCCGGGTATTTCACCTGCAGCGTCAGTCCCGAGGAGGGAAGCACAGCTGGGTGTCCCTGAAGCAGTCGAGGAGGCTGTTTAAGATGTATATGGACTCCGTGAGGGGGTTTAAAGACAAGTGGTACGTGGTACGCCCAATTACTGACTCTGCTTTAGATTCCCTTTTCGAGGAGGAGGGGCCAGTGAGCGACGATGATGGGGAAGCGATGGTGGCCGACGACGGGAGCCCCGTGTTAGGTCGTAGGGCTAAGTTCCCGATGTACTGGATGTCCCGACATTACGAGCATGGGACAGGTTATTTCCATACTGCTGTCGGGGACATGTGCACGGAAGATCAGCGGGCGTACGACGTTCTTTGTCGGTTTGTCGACAGTTTTCATCCCGCCAGATGGGTTACGCGGGAAGGGGACGACATCCTAGACAAAGACGGTTACCCGACGTTCGAGTCTCGACCGATCGACACCAAGGCGCTGGTGGAATGTCCGACATATAGGCAGGCTGCCCGCCTGTTAGGTTGTTTGCTTGAAATTCTTTATTCGCCATTTATTTATGCAGTTTGCTCGATACTGACTTTTCCTTTATTTCGTGCAGGTACGATGGCTAGCCGACATGAAAGGCTCCTGAAATTGTCAACCGACCAGAGGCGAGGCAGGAGGGTCGTGAAGGCCCCGCAGACGACGAGAATGGGACCACCGCAAAGTCCGAACGCTCCTCGGCCGGTGAGGGTGGACTCGACGTCGAGCTCGGGACCCGCGTCAGATCCAGAGGTCGAGGAGATTGACCCCAGCGCCGTTTTGAAGCAGAGGAAGAGGACCCGCGTGGAAGGCGGTTCGACCGTCGGGGAGGATGCCGGTGCTGTTCAATCTTTTGCCTTCCCCCCTTGCTTCGAAGAGGCGGGCTTTTTCGAGCGATTCCCTCCGACAGTGGTCGCCCATGAAGCTGAGGCCATAAAGAAGATGAGTAAAGAGGAAAGGAAGGCCTATCTGGCCGCCAGCGTGGACGGGCTGGTAAAAATGGCCGAAATGGCTTTGGTGTTATCTGAGGATGCAGGGGATGCTGCTCGTGTTGAAGAGCTCGAGCAGGAGAAGGTGGCCTTGACTGCGAGCTCGCGGAAGTTGAAGGTCGCTCTGGAACGCTCCGAGGAGATGTTCCGAGAGCAGACCACGATACTTGATGCCGAGAGGGAGATGCTGACCCTGGAAAAGGAGAAGTCGGGGAGGTTGACTGAGGAAGGGGAGTTGCTCCGGACCGACAGGGATCGCTTGGCTGCCGAAGTTGAACGCCTGGGTAAACAGGTTGAGGAAATGAATGTTGTCTTGCAACCTGCCGAAGATGAGCCCGAGGACATAGTGACTTTGAAGAGTCGGGCTGAGCTGGTCGCCCACATCCGGCTCCTCGAGGCGGACTGCGTCGGTGCTCTGGAAGACGGGTTCAATTCTGCAGTCGATCAGCTCTCATTGCTAAACCCTGGTCTGGTCACTGAGGGTATCGGTCACACACACCGGGTTGTAGGTGGCATGATCGTTCCTCCGCCCGACTCTCCTGGCGTCGACAATGATGATAATGTGGAAGTTT